CACTTGTACGAACCGGCACCGGGTGGGCTCATAATTTGTATGGTTTGGAAGGTGGTGGTCACTCCAGACAGACACGGCATGTTTATGAGCAACCATTATCATGCGGCATTAAATGTAAGAAGCATGGTTATTTGAAAAGGAGAAGTGGGATAAGGTTCAGTCCACTAGCCAGTCTAGCCCCCGCCTCCCAACCCGACACAAAAATTATTTGATGCTCCAACAGGTGAAAATCACGAGATTGTTGCTCCATTCAATATTTGAACTTCCAACACTGTTATTGCTACATCCAAATTTAATAAGTTCAATTCAACTATAGTTTCTTTCTTTTCTTGTCAAATACTATCCAGCAGGGCGGAGCAAGAAATAAAAAGTTGGGATGGGATTTGAACTCTGTAATGAAAATTTTAAATTTTTTTAAATTAATTGTAATATAGTTTTTTTTAAATACTAGTCATAGTATATATATATATATATATATATATATATATATATATATATATATATCTTGAGAAAATTCAAAAATGAGAAAAATACAATTAGACAAAAAAAAAAAAAATTGATGTTAGAAAGAAAATTATAGAGAATAAATGTAAAGAAATAAACATGGTTAGAAATCAAATTTTCTTTATCAATTGTTTTAGTTTTTCAAAAATCTAATTTTTGGAAGAAGAAAATTAAGTACTTAGATTCCACTTGAAAAACATATACCTAGATGAAAGATTAGAAAAATATAATGAATTTTTACTCAAATATATATATATATATATATATATATATATATTTAACAAAATTATTATTGAGTTATTAAACAAGATACAAATAGTTATAAAATTTGTTATTTAGAAAGTGATAACTAAAAGTATTATCATATATGATATTATTATTGTTATTGAGAGTTTCATAATACTTTATTTCATCTTCTTTCTAAATATTTCTAAGATTTTGCAATAAAGATTGTTATATAATTTTAGATATTTTTCTTGTAAATACCATTTTACAAAAATGTTTGACAGAAAATGCTTCAAGTATTTTTACCAAACGTGAGGGAACATTAATTATTTTATTTTATTTTTTTCTCTCTTTAATTAATATTACAAATATTGTAAGTGTATATATAAGTAAGGGTAAATTGTACTGACACTCCCCCTGATGTTTTAGTCAACACTACCCAGCGATCGGTTAATGACTTTTTTTATATTGGCACCCCCTCCAGACCTCTGAAACCATATGAAATTACATTTTAGCCCTTTGACTTGCCAACAACTTCGTTTAAATTATAAAATTACAAATTTAACCTCCAAATAAAATTTAATGGACCAAACTATCTTCTTCATATCTTGTATATATATAAAAATAAAAAATAAAACACCACCAAAACCACCACCACCACCAATATAAAATAATAATAATAATAATTTTTTTTTTTTTTTTTTTTTTTTGAAATAGCCACATAACTGTACGACACCTTAACCACTACCACCACACCCAAACACCACCAAAACCACCACCACTACACCCAAACATCACAATAGAAGAAAATTAATTTTGAGCACTGGTTGTAAAGTTCGCGACTCAGTACACAAACATAACATGAATTGAAGGCGTGATTTTAGGACCATTTGAAGCTTGTGTAGTTTGTCATTCATAAAACAATTATAAAGATCTTAGAAAATGTAAAACTACTTTCAGATAACATTTTTTAAAAATTGTCAAGCAAGCAAATTTTTGTACAAATTTATAATTTTTTGTTCTCCAAAAATAAAAAACTGTTCTTAAAAGACCCTTGAATTTTCAATTTTTCTTTTCTTTCCCAAATTCTCTATGCCCTTCATTTTCACATCCCCTCTATTTCCACTTATAGTTTCTCCTCCCAATCTGTCTTCAAAGGAAACGCATAGAGTGAGAATTATAAAAATCTTTTTGTCTCATTATTATTCTGGTCGTACAACTAAAATAAATTTCTGGATCCCACTGACCACAAACATATAATTGTATCCTAGCAATTTTCTTTTGAACTTAGCCCAAATTAGAACGTTAACTTTTGAATTTGGCATGTGCCATATTTAGGTATGGCAAAAATTTCCACTCGAGTGGGACATCTCGTCCCGCCCAATTTCATGCGTTTGAAATAATTTTAGAGAATCGATTATATAGATAGAGATTATTTTAAAAAACTTGGCGGTTTTGGGGGGGCTTGTCCTGTCCCGCCTCATCCCTAATATATTATAAATTTATTAAATTACCATCACATACTATGATATATTACTAAATTATGTTAAATACACACACACACACACACACAACATGAAGCCCTGGCTCTCATTTTGTTTTGTGTTTTAAGCCTTGTGAAAGAAAAAAAAAAAAAAAAATCACGAATAGGGATTGCAAAAATTCTCACCTCGGCGGGACCCGTCCCGTTTGGGGCGGTTTTGGAGAACCGATTGTATAAACGAGGATGGAAATGATGACTACTTTGAAAAACCCAACAGGTTTTGAGATGATTATGGAAGATGAAAAAAATTAAACAAGAATAAAAATGGAGAATGAAATCCCCACACCATTATCATCCTAATTATATTACACAATTTATTTATGGTAGCAAGCGAAGTATGAAGTTATTAACTTATAAACTTATTATGATCTTTCAATTTTGACTTTTCCAAAACCATTCGTGGGCCAAAATAGTGAGCTGCTGGAAATTGGGTCTGAACTCTTATTGAGTGAGTCCAGATCCAATTAGAATTTGTATTATCAGTTTGTCATCCAGTCTACGTTATTAAGTTTCTTATGATATGTCCGAATGTATAAAATTAGTATCTTGAAATTAGAATTTAATTTAATTTAATTTTTTTTACTTTAATACAACAAAACATTGCATTAGCTTATCCCACAGGGTTGAAAATGAGAGCTTATAGTTAGTATAAAATTTTGAATTGAGTATTCTAGATCAATTTCTGAACTAGAAAAAGAGCAAAATGTTGGAGATGGGATTTGAATTCGTCACTTGAGGTGGGTTGAAATCTAACAAAAAGCAAGTAGTCAAGCAGATGGTACACCTATTTGGCACAAAATGAATGTGGTGAAACTTGCTTAGATTATTGAATTTGATTTGAAGGGACATATATTATTAGTAAATTATTAGTCTAAAATTCAAAAACTCTGAAAATGGGCCAATCGCGAAAAGTTTATCCCAGAAAAATCTTCAAGTGAAAGAAATTGATTTGCCAACAGAGGATGTGAAGAATCACATTCTACCAAACCTAACAAATGGCCTTATGAAGGGCAATCTGGGAAGAGCATTAAGTGTGTATTTTCCCTTGAAAGACGACACCATGGCATGAATAGGCAATGCAGAATCATTAATCATAGAACAAAATGTACATAAAAAACACAGAAGCTAAAGCCTATACTTGAGGAACCAAGTCATCACCGCTTTTACTTTCATCTTACAGAGGAGCCCAGCCTTTTAATGTTGTCCTATTAATTGTAATTTTGATGATGAATAAACACTTTTTCTTTTCTTTCTGAAACACCATTGAAGAAGCACTAGATTTCCAAAACTAGTTACATGTTTGTTCTATGATTAATGATTCTACATTGTTGATTTAATTTCACAATCAAACATTCCCAATTTTGTAAATCTTCATTTATACCCTGTAGAATAATATTAGACGTGCACCTTGGGCCTTGGCAACTGAACTCAACTCGATCCTAATCCATTTTTTTGTAAGCTTGGACAACTATTTTTATATATTAGGATTGAATGGGTTAAAAATTCTCAATCAAAATTTAATTAGGTTTCTAATATAATTTTCATATATGTTTTTATTTTAAATATATACATATATTATTCAAATTATGATTATATTTTTTCTTTTCAACTTACTTTATTTTTAGTCTGTGTTTAACTTGCATGTGTCATATTATTTGAGTGGTTGGATTACTTTCCGTGTCCGAGAGCTAGTGTTAGAACCTAACACTCTCCCTTCTTCTAATCTTACTTGCAAACCTCAATTTAAAACTAAAAAAATGAATTAAACTTAAATTAATTAACTAGGATTCCAGGTTGAATTATAATTATGTTAGAATGGAACATTTTTCACATATGGGATCCTAAATTATTATTTACTTTACTTAAACCGGATATATATCCAAACTTGGATATATTTTGTTCCCGGGAAAATTATCAAAAAAAAGGAATTTTGTAACAGACGAGAATGCATGAGGTGGGTCCTCCACAAGCCACCATACACACATAAATTATTGCGCGGATTATTGCTGAAGTCTGTAGAGTCACCTAGGGGCCAGGGCCGGTCCTGACAAAATCTTAAGAGTAGCCTAGGCAAGCTTAAATGTGAGGCTCTTAATTATTAAAATAAACACTAACATATATATGAAATAATAAAGGGTATATTCAATTTTGAATTTAATTATCAAATTATTAAGGACTAATTTTGAATGAGATGTGAACTAAAGAGTCCTAAGTTTTTATTTTATTTTTATTTGGGCCTATCACTCATGAAAAGGGGTTTAAGTTTTTTTTCTTTTTATTTGGGCCTATCATTCATAGTAAGGGGCCTAAGTTTTTTTTTTTTTTTTTTAACCTGCCACTAATGGTCCTAAAAATTTTGAGGCCCTAGGGTCACCTTGGGACAGGGCCGGCCCTGGAGTCACCTAAGGAGGTTACTGAAATCGGTATATGGAAAACAACACTGAAAAGCGCAAAAAAAAATTGGAGAGAAACATTGAGAGAGCAATAATAATAATAATATATAACATTAAATAAAAAATTGTAGATTATAATTTTTATTTAATTTATTTAATTAACATATAATCAATTCAAATTTATTTAATTAACATATAATCAATTCAAATTTATTTATGAAATTTTCAATTTTATATAACTTAGCATCAAGTAATTGAAAAAACAAATAAAAACTCTAATGATTTCTTTATTATTCATCTGAAGAAAATGCAACCAAATCATTTCTAAGGAAATTAATAAAATTCAACCACCAAAGGGACAAATTTGAACAGGACTAGAACCCTAGGGGTTCGAGTTGAAATAACGAAAGTCGAACTCTGACTTGCGCATATGAGAGAGCACAAGAAGTTTTACTTCGTTGCCATCTTCTACCTCCGAACACTCTAATTAGACCAGACCTGAGGGTAAAAATGGAACAAGTGTTATTCCAGCCGATAGTCGCTGCGTTAATTTCATCCGCAATCGCCATTAGAGCTTATAAAAGGAAGTCTCTTAACTTATCGGGAGCATTTACGGGGTTTGTAGTTATGGCGATTCACATCGGTGTCAATTACAGGTCCGTTTTATAGATAACAATATGTAGGTATCTATGTATTCAAATATGCATGTGTATATGTATCATTCAAATTGCAGTCCTCTTGGTTACATCACACACACATACATAAATGTTGTTTTTATATTTATTTGTGTTGATTATTGGATTTAGGATCGGAGCTATGTTGCTTGTTTTCTTTTTCTCTTCATCCAAGCTTACGAAATTCGGGGAGGAGAAAAAGCGAATCGTTGACGCTGATTTCAAAGAGGGAGGTCAACGCAATTGGTACTAATCTCTCTACTTTCTCTCTCTGACAGTGTAGACCAGTGGCTTAGTGCTCACACACACATGCACTCATGTGTGTTTATGTGGTATATGCAATATGCCTAAGTATGTAATGGAAATAGGTGATCTTTCTTGACAATTCAAAGTTGTTTCACATTTAATGCCAACTATTAGAAGAAGTAAAATTGTTAATATAGTAGGCTGGACTGTGCTTTAATTTTCTGTCAATTGCTGTTTGGAATGCTAGAGCACATTAGCATGTTGCTGGTCTTTAATATTGTCACCGTACTGATGTTTAGAGTGCTTGTTCTGAATTTATATTATTTATCTAGAAGTGCACATGCATTGTGGTTGAAATTCTTTAATTGCACATACAAGGGAATTGTGGGACTGGTGTTTTTTCAGAATCAAATCAATAAGCTTGGCCCTGAAAAAATCAATAATAATTCAATCAAGGCAAGAGGGTTGGTTTTGGTGTTGAATTTGGTTATTGATTTGATTCTGAAAAAATCAATAAGCCTGGCCCTGAAAACCAATTATTGTTATGTTTTTAAATTTTTCCAAATTAACAATGTAAATCCTTAATATTTTGAAGGGTTAATATTGGAACTTCAAGAGGGATGTTCATTAAATGCCTTGCCCATGAAAATTCTGAACCATGGGAGTAAACTTATATTAGTTTTCAGTTTCTCCATGCTTTATTTTATTGTGATTAACATTTATATAGGTCAGTGCATCTTATTCAATGCATTTAGAGTACATATTTGTGTTTTTGGAGAAATAAACATTTAGTAATAGTATAGCTGAGCAATATGATAGAGCATATGGATTGACTCAAACTATGGTCTTAAATAGAGCGGAATGGAAACATAGGATTCATGTGGTCAACCCCAAGTAGTTGGGGAAAAAGGCTTAGCATTGAATGTTTTTACTCGTGGAACAAATTTGACAGCTGCTACTGTTTAAGTTCCTACACTCTGACATGATCTTGCTTGTATGGGGATGAATTAGAAATCTCAACAGTGTAGTTCCTTGCTCTATCCTGATAAATGTATCAAACTATTAACTTTTTTTCTGGAAATTATTTTTTGAAAAAATAGTACATAAAACACTATATGATGAATTTGGTTAGTATGTTGGCAATGGATTGCTTAAGCACATGGTTTTAAGCCTGAAGGATAATCTAGTCAGCACCCAGCTACTGAACATATATAATCGAAAACATAACGTGGTTAATCTAAATATAGTAGGTGATATGGCATTTAATAGAAAAGAGTTGAGACAGAGAATTTATGTGGCCAACCCCATTCACGTGGGATCAAGGCAAGGATGATGATGATGATAACTTGGTTAATCTGTTAACTGAATCCACTCATACTTTTCCTAACCTTTGATCAGACTTGCATGCACACAATAATAATTAATGTGCCTTTCATATGTGATTGGACCAGCATGCATACGCTGCTAATGGCCCATACATATGTGATTAGACCGATCATAGCTTATTAAAAGCTGTCTTATCATTATTGCTTACTTCTGATTTATTGTTCTCTGATTCTCTCTTTGTTTTCAGGATACAAGTTATGAGCAATAGTGGCATTGCTACTCTTTTAGTCATGATTGTTTGGAAGTTGACAGGATTCCAGGACAAGTGCTTGGACTCAAAAGAATCAAGTCTTGTAACATCTCTTATTGGTGGTATTATTGGTCACTATTGCTGCTGCAATGGAGATACTTGGTCGTCAGAGCTTGGGATACTTAGTGATTCACAACCTCGACTAATCACAACCTTCGAGGTAAATATTCTTTTGCTTTGATATCATCTGATTTTCTTAGTCCCATTCTTCAACTAACTAAGCAACCAGTTGAGGTGAGCAAAGTATATGCCTTTGACTGTCTGGTGTCTATTTGACTAAGGTTGCCTGGATATAGCTGCATATAATTCTCATCATCCCTGATGCTGACCCCAAATAGTTAGGAAAAGGATTTGTTAAGTTTAGTTTAGTTGTACCACTCCTGGTCTTGTTGCTGCTGCTTCTTTTTTTCTTTTCTTTTTTCCTCTATAAATTTCATTGAATAGCATTTTTCCAGTGCTTTTACCTCACTTGGTCGAAGCATTTGATGGATTCCGCTTGCACTTGTAGCTACAAATGGAGCTTGAGAGCAATCTTAATGTTTCACAATTAAATTGTACCAATGTCATTATGGAGTGAAGAATGTATACACCACAAGCATTGAATATTTCCATATGTTATGTAGCATACTACATTATTATTTTAAAAAATAAGTCCTATTTATTAGTTGAAAGGCCTTCTCTAATGACAGACTGTTTCTTCTGCATTCACCATTTTGGCCTCTCATTTTCTTCATAACTACTAACTACTTTGCATTTCAATGGTTAATGATCAGTGCTGTTAAAAATTGCTTCTGTACAACTTCAACAAAAGGAATTCAATCTTGGTATTTTCTTTTACATTTTTAAATATTATGGTGGATAGAGGGCTCAAGTGGTAAGTCACTTGGCCTTGGTGCCTCATGAAGTATCTGGTCTAAGGTTTGACTCCTTTAACTAGGAAAAAAAGAACACGATATTATATTAATTCTTAAATCCATAGAGATTGTGGCCTAATTTGTTTCTATTATGGTTGTCAGCCAGTCAGGAAGGGCACAAATGGTGGTGTAACGAAAGCAGGACTTCTAGCTGCTGCCGCAGCAGGCAGTGTCATTGGACTGACATTTGTTCTCTTAGGATTTCTTACAACGAAATGCACATATGATGTAGGTCTGAAGCAGCTATTGGTAATACCACTTTCTGCCATGGCCGGGCTGTGTGGAAGTGTCATAGATTCCCTGTTGGGAGCAACACTACAATTCAGTGGATTTTGCCGTGTACGTAATAAGGTAAGTTCCATAGCTTCCTAAATTAATTTAGGTTAATGCATTTTGCAGCCCATGATGGATTTCATCATTGCTACACTAATTTAAGGGCTCATTTTAAGCCATTGGTTGTGGGCTCAATTGATATTCCCCAACACTCTCACCCCGCCCCAAATTTCGGAGGAGTTTGGTGATTCTTTGTAAAGATTGCTTAAGAATACCGTGTGTTTTCCTTACAATGTCTCTAGTTTATAAATTTAGTTTAGTCGTCAAACTTGTCTAAAACATAACAAATACCTGCTTACATGACTGATAAATGAACAATTGTAATGCGTTATCACTGAATTGATTTTATGAGAGATTATAACCTGGATAACCTAAATTCTGGATACGTGTTTAAAGAGTATAAAAAGAGAACTTCATCACACAGTTAATAACTATTTTTTGAAAAAAGAAAAGGGAAAAAAGAACTAGATGAATTGATACAATATGGGATGACACTGGTACACTTCTTTGTCATTGCAATCCAATCTACATTTATATATGTATTGTGGTAGAGGGCTAAATATATGAATGGTTAAGAATAGGATGATCTTAATTTAGGTTTTTAAACCCAGGGACTTCTATTATTTGTGCAGGTTGTTGGGAAACCAGGACCAACTGTGAGGAAGATTTCGGGCTTTAGCATTCTTGACAACAATGCTGTGAACCTTGTGTCAGTATTACTGACAGCAGTTCTGACTTCCATTGCCTGCTTGTACATTTTTTGAAATCCATTTCTCCAGCTGATTAATGTTGTATCAGATTATACGGTTCAAATCTGCGTTCTTGCAATTTCGTGTACCTTTATTAGTATCTAGTTATCTCAATAAAATCCAAATAAGGCATGCTCTGAGGTGGTTTATGGTTCAGGATTTAAAATTGCAGCATGCTAATAATGGCATTCGGATAAACAACAACTCAGCCTTTTTGAAAAATATTTTGTGTTTTCTGATATTTGGTTGTCATAAAATATTTACAAAGAAAAAAAATATTAAAACTTAAAGAAAATAACTTATTCATTAATTTTTGATAAGTTATTTTACATGTTTCACTTATGAATTCGACCTAAATTTTGATCTAAACTTTCGTCAAATATTGAATATATATATATATATATATATATATATATATATATATATAATAATAATAATTTACTAGAAGTGGCAGCCCATGTGGGGTTTATTGTGCGGACCACCACATCTAACGGTTTAGAAGTGGCAGCCATGACTGTCACTAGCTTATCCTTCTTCTTTTTCTATGGAAAACAAGTACTTGCACTCAATTTCGCGGAAGGAGCGGCAAGGAACAAAACAGATCTGATTGTACAATACTCCGTAATATTATTGTGGTAACGATGTTTAGGCAATCGCTACCATTTTTTTTTCTTTCACGCAATCACTACCATTCAACAGTCCAAAAATGGGAAAATTTGAGGGTATGAATAAAATAAAATAAAATAAATAAGTGAAAGATGGATAAAGATCAATAAACATTTTTTATTTAACACCCTATGCTCTCATGATTATCATGATGAACTATATTTAAGGGCGTCAACACAAAAGAACATCTACGGGTGTTTAGGGGTGGGATTTGGGTGGGGGTAATTAATTCGATTTTGGTCGAAAATTTTATGTGCATGAGCAAGGTATTGGAATCATGGGATTGGGATTGGGTTTAAATTTTAAAATCCGGATTTATTTTGGTAGGAATGTAGGATTTTGACAAGGATTACAATCCGAAGAACCGGAACACAATAAAATATATATTTTAATATTTTTAATGTTATACCCTGTTTTTGTAAAATAAAGTTAAAACTAGGTGATTTAATATTTAATTATTTATATTAATTGGATTTTAGTTATGAAACAATATAAAAAAGAGTATATGGTTTTTAATTATTTTCAAATTCTAGTTAAGAAAATTTTCATGAAGTCAACAAGTTTTAATCACCGAAGTCTTTAAAAAACCTTATTTGGTGGCTGCGGTTCTAAGTTCTCACAGTTTTCTTTTCTTTTTTGCCGAAATTTCTGTTTCTGTAATATTTATTTATTAGTAATATGATCTTTAGGTCGATCTACATGTGACATTTGTTTTGATGGTGCACTTGGTTTTATCCTGTACCCATCTTCTTATTTTGAAGATTACAAAGATTAGTTTTGGGTAATATACAAAAGGGACTTCAAAAACAATAAGAGAATATATTACAAAACAGGCGAGAGAGAGAGAGAGTCTGCACGTCTAACACAAACAGGCTTCCATATAATGATTTGCTAAACACACAGTTGGAAGCATTTTCTAAAAGCAAAAGCAATTTATTTTATTTATTTACGTTTTGGGCAAGCCATTTCTGAAATAAAAAACAATTGATGTTTCCTGCAAGCAAATAGATGGATCACACACCACGGGCTCTTACCCAACTATAAGAGAGACATATTTCATTATAATTGTCAAAGAATTGCCTAAAAAGGAAACTTGAAAATTGAAAAGAAAAACATAGAGCTGCCACCTTAAAGAAGACAAAGGATCTGGCAGAGAAAGGCGAGAGAGAGCTCAGGAGCTACTTACAAAGGGCTCACAACTTTATCCTTTTTCTCCAAAAAAAATAATAAAAATAAAGAAAGAAAGAAGAAATTAAAAAAGAAAAGAAAAAAACATAGATCAGAAGGAATATATAAAGAAGAAACATATATGAATCCAATAACACTATGATTATACAGTCGACAAATAACAACTGGACTACTTCCACCACAAGCTAAAACTTGAACACTAAGCGCTTTCTGCCGGAAGCTGACTGATGCTCCCAAGGCTGTTGGCAAACTTGGGCCTCCACTCTGTCCTTCCCTTTACAATCTCAGCCCCACTCTCCAGTCGAAGCAAATGCTGGCACTCAACATATCCAGTATCAAGCAAATTACCGATGCCAGTGCCTGATACAGCAGTGAGAGACTGCAACACACTATCCCTCCCGCACTCCTTCCTGTACTCTAAAGTCATGCTCGAAAGCTCGTGACCCTCCAAGATAGGCAGCGGTGCGCTCTGCAACAACCCAAAATGTCTTCCAATTAGATGGCAATAAACTTTTAACAAATGACAAAAAAAAATGCCACAAAGATCCAGAAGAAAGTACAAAACGAATCTAAAACTGGCATAAAATACAAACATCAATCAATTCATTCTTCAGGTAACAGAACAAACAAGCACAACAATATGTCACTAATTGAACTGCATAAATGATAAATCAACACTCACTATATTATGACCTCCAAGCAAATTTTGATCAAATGTGTTCAAATGGTGGGTGACAATGCTATTTTTTGTTGTCCACAAACAATATAAGTTGCAACATCAAAAGTCTCAAATTATTACTGCATTTCCATTGCCTTTATGTTATTCTTCCATTATTTCCATCTCTTTTACTTACTTCTACATTTCCAGAATATTTTTTTTCCCGGTATAAATTTCCATTTTGCCACATTTGGCACAAACCTGTGAAAGGGTTAGTGGGTCAATCAAACTCCTTATATTCATATGAGTAGCACTTGGATGAGCAGCCTGAGTAACTCATTATTGCATATTAAATCCTAAGAGAATCCTAGATAGTGTAGAACAAATGAGATTTCTAAAAGAATTCAGCTCAAGTACATAATATTGCATATTAAACAGCAATTTGGGATGGTACTAGAACCTTCCATTCCACCACAAATCCTATGAAGAGTTCAAGAAATGACATTATAGAAGGTAACACAAAATTACCTGCTTCACAATGACAAAATATGAAGCACGTATACAATTGCTTTGCACAAATGCATACAAACAAGCCAGCATTATCCTTGCAACAATTAAGATAGAGATCCAGCCCAACTTTCACTGTTGGGGGCCGGCTCCCAGCTTAATCAAATTACAACCAGAATGATCCCAGTAACTAAAGTTACCCCAACCAGTCTGATTCAGTCAAACACTTAACAAAACCCAATTACTGGGAAAAATAAATAAAAAATAAAAAAACACTTTTGGGTTTTAGGTTGCAGTTTTAGTGCCATATTCAACTTAACAACTTATTACAATGAAAGGAAATGTATACAGAAATACTACCAAGGCTCTAGTCTAGTGGTATCTCCTCCACATGAGAGGTTGAGGGTTCAAGTCCTCCCTTCAATAAAATAGTATGTGTGTGTGTGTGGTGTGTTCATCTTACCTACCAAAACAATTTATATCTTTCTATAAATATATGCGACAAATACACAGCATCATTCTTTCTGTCAACAAAAGAACATACCATCCCTTGGTACTGCCAAGTGTTACCTCTTTTTGTAGTTCTATAAAGTTTTTCGGCAAAGCAATAAAGGACCAGTATGATGAATCATGGGATTTTACAGATTTGGGTAGTTGTATAGATACTGAGCGGGCCGCTCAGGGTAAGCTGAGGTTCCAGTCAGCTTCAGAATCCGTCACAGTGCATATTTTATGAGCAGTTGCAAGTAAGAAAATCAATTGAAAGTGGAAACAAATGGATAACAAAACAAAAATCAGTAAAAATATTACCTCAAGAATCCAACCAATGTATTTCACATTGTTAACATGCTGGTTGACATCTAAATCACTCCATCTTGGCTGCAAATTTAAATAAACAAGTCATCATAAGAAAGCAAAAGTAGAAGCAAAACAGTTATGGCACATAAAATATAAAACATTATTCATAATTAAAGAGCCTTACAGTTAAACCAGTACGAACACAATCTGCTCTGCTGTCATCAAGTTTTGGTAATTTTTTGCTGTCCTCTTCCACCACAGGAGGTGAATCCACAAAGTAAGGCCCTATTTCCCCTCGGACTTCATCTGGCATTTTAGATAACCTCCGTGTCGTTTTATTCATCATAACCCATACACTGCAATTTATCCAACCATAGAATAATAAAAACTTTAGTCAATTCCTCCAGACAAGTCATTCAGATTCATCTTCAGAATATGATACCGCAACATGCCAAAAGTTTATGGCATGCCATGCCCTCAAGAATATCTCTTCCAAGCCTAAGAAAATCAGAAACTCTTAAATAGAAAACTTTTAGACAATTGTAAGTCCTTTTTATGGTTAATTACTCGTGCTATCTATCACTATTTAGATATACCCAAATAAGATTGTATCAGTTTAAATGGCAAATAAAACAGACTAATATGTGCACCACTTCAAATGCAGTAATCATGCCTATGCAACGTGGGTAAAAGTGACATGATAATTGAGAATGAATTGAATAAAGAAGAAGTTATGAGATCATGGGATATTAATGAGCTTAAACAAAAACATTTCCAACCTGGAAGCTCTTGTTAAAATGTCCCCCGTTTTGCAGTCACGGAGAAGCCAATCACGACGCATACCATTCTTTCCTGATGCAGCTACCCAGGTGTCTACTTGAACAACATCACCCCTGCAAGAGAAGAAGGAACAAAAGAATAGCTCAAACCATCAATCACTAACAACAGTTATCGGCTACATTCTGTAATCAGCTAAAATATTAGAGTAAATAAAATCTTGATATAAAAAATAATGACATGAAAACCCAAAACCAAAACAACCCACTTTTTTCTGACAACTGTATAGTGATTCCATTTGGTTCAAATGGCATTGTTCATAACCTCTTTCGACAAACAAATTTATTAAAAAGAGTACCAAACGGTAAGTAACCTGAGAAGCTCAAGTATGCAGAACTCAAGCATCTACAAGGAAAAAAGAATAACTACCCTTTAAACTTCCCGAAAATCCAAGAGCAACAAGTAAGAGGTTCACCTCCTGCTTCCAGCAAACAGCCAAAAAAAAAAACTAGTGTTTGTCTTATGGATTGACATCTCTTCCCGATTTAACAAAAAATGGTTCCTTTCCTCATACAGAAGCTTTTAGGATTTGATTTTCTGTTTATTTTGGTGATAATGACGATGTGAACATGACATCAATAGACTTGTGTGCTACACAGCTATGTAAGAGCACGGTAGACTGATGTGACATCCGTATGACATCAAAGATGCCTTCCTATTTTGAATAGGTGTTTTTTTTTTTTTTCCCAACAACAAATCAATGCACTTTAGATTTTGGATTGTATATGCTTGTGTTCTCCCTGTCATTTCATACTCCCAAACAAGTTCAGCAAAGAATATTAATTTTAAATGATGTAAAAAATAATAATAATAATAAAAAACACATTAATTGCAACTTAAATTTGTATGCGTTTGTTTTCTATACCTGACTTTTTGCTATATTTGTAAAGAGAGCCCCTCTATTTTGTATTCTACCCCTGAATTTGCCAAGAAGGAAGATATGAAGTTAATGAGACATGAGCCTATTAGGCCCTCAATCATGAATGGCAACCATGCCAATCAGGAGTGCAGACCTCATTTTTGAAGCCCAGCACCAATTTTGTGCCATAAACAGCCTTGTGCTTTCCAGTGCTTTGCATCAAGTAATACTTTCACAGTTGTAATGCTCCAGCCATACTAGTTTAGACAAACATTAACACGCCTATCTTAACCATACCACATTGGACAATTTGAGCTGCTAACTAATGGGGTTGAGCCATATAATCAATGCTAAGGATAAGATATAAATGTTGTGTCTGATACAAGGAAAACAAGATTGGCTAAACAATCTCTTCTTCTTCTTGTGAGACAAGAACATTTATTACCATCCTCAGTTTCTCTGGTGTTAAATTCCAGTTCATAATAGTCATGTTTTTGGCACCAGTTACCCATGTCTGCTTCTCATTAAGCTAATGAAATAAGCTTCGCATTTGCAATAATCATCTTAGGTTATGTCACCCCGTTAGGATCTAAATGTTGGGGGTTTGGCAAAGCCTCTACTAGACTACAAGCATCAGCAATCCTCAATTACCTTATTAAAAAATATATCTACATGTAACTTGAATTTAATATAGAAAGAACAAGAGCCGGCTTCCTTATGGGAGTTCTTCCTCAGTAGCTCAGTGGTAGAGCGGTCAGCTACTAACTGACTGGTCGTAGATTCAAATCCTACTCGGGGAGAATCAATAGTTATCGCTTTTCTGGCCTGGCGACCCGTCCTTTGACTGTCTATCTAAGCTAGCAGAATTGTGGGACATCAAAAGTGGGAAGTTGATTGTTGGTTTTTATTCCTATCTCGTATAGGTGAACTTGGTTTGTTCAATTCTTTCTGTCACACAATAAATTCCTAGAAAAATGAAGCTATCAAGGCCAAATAAAAAGATATGATTATCATTTCATGTAGTAAAAGGATAAAACTAGGTATACTAGTCTGTAGCTTACCAAGTCGGATAGCGATCAACCATAACCTGCATTTTCGTTACCACCCATATCAGGTTCTTTTTGCACATCTCTGGAGTCGAACCGAAGCCATCACCCAAGAGTCCCGCAGTCTTTACATGGTTAAGAGCCGTTTCCTGCAGAATGAGCTTGATATTGAGATGAAGTAAACAAATTTTACATATTGATGAAGAAATGACAAAAACCAATAAGTCATGTCTCATGTGCATTTAAGCTTTTAACATTGTGGTTTATTCTTTATCGGCTACATTATAAAAGAAGATCAACATCTCCAAACTATAAAATGCAAAATGAAGGCATGTTTATACCTGCAAATGATTCATCAATGTCTCTATAGATGCAGTCCGATCAGCCCCTATCTCATATGATCTGATTGAGAAGTTCTGACGGAAAACAAGACCATCCTGAACAATTCTCCCCAAACCAAATGGGTCAATGAGCATGTCAGGCCGCCTCGGCTTCCAATCAAGCATCATCCATTGCTTCTCAGCTGCTAAGAAAATAGTTGTTATAGCAGCAAGGAGCATGCTCCAGTCTGGCAATTGGTTGATAAAAGTCCTGGGGGGAGGTGATGATGTCTCATCCCCACTCTTGAGGCCTTCCATTACACCAACTTTGGTACCATTTATCTTGGGTGGGGCTTGTGCACTGGCCTTAACCTGCAAACTCCCAGAAGGTGCAGATTTCGACTTAACCCGTCGTGCATCTACATTTGCTGGTACACCTCCAAGCTTGCTGGAGGTCTTCGCACCAGATTCGGGTGGCGGAGAAGCAACAGGGAAGAATGATGAAGTAGCAGCAGTGGCAACCATGATGAGAATATATACCCACTGGGTCAATTAAACCCAATCAAATGTTAAAGCACGGTTTGGGTTATATCTGTTCTTGGCAGATTGAAACTTGCAAATAAGTGATGCAAATTGTGAAATATTCACCAAATTTTTTTTTCAAAGAGTAACATATTGTTTCTGGAAGGCATGAAATTACCAAATCAGGATACTTTGAATTTCTAATTTAAGCAATTGAATATCAATATAATTACAGCAAACAACAATTTTTCACTTCCTTCAACCCATTCAGCCGTCAAAAATAAGACCCCAAAAGGGTTCATATATGCCAAAGAGACTACTTTAAGGGGGTTATAAAATACACATGTATTACAGACCTTCTTTTAAGAGTATTAAAAGGAAAAAGAGTATATACTATTTTGTAAAGATCAATGCTTTGTTAATGTAAGAAAATAGCAATGATAATCGAAATTTTAAATCTTAGATTTTCACATTTGTGACATTTTTAAACACAAATCTCACACCAACTCAGCCTAATAAGATTAATTAGAAAACATACAATTTAAGACAATAACTTCCTCTGTTTTTTTTGGTTTATTGGCAACCGAAAGAGAAAAAATCGTAAATTAGGGAAGGAAAAAGAGAGAGAGAGAGAGAGAGAGAGAGAGAAGAAAAGAAAAGAAAAGAAGAAGCAATATCCTAAAAGAAAGAAGAGAAAAGGAGAGAAATTTTAAAACATTAACAATTTAAAGAACCATAAATTTCAAAAATCACAAATGAACCTAAAGTTCAAGCATATATCACAACGAAATGGTTCAACCAAGCATCATAAAACAGACAAACAACAATGACCAAACGAATTAAACAAGAAACAAAAACATAGAAATGCTTTCATGCACATAAATTCCAACATGCAACAGATTTAGAGCAGATCTGAGCACTCAACAACAAAAACCAAATGATAGATCACGTAACATTTCAGTTCAGAGACAAAAACCAAACATTCAACACCTCTTCCATTCCATCGCAAAATTACAACGACACCAAAGACAAATACAAAAAATTCGAAGCAAGACCTGACTTGGATCATAGAACTCAGATCAGACTATAATAAAATATAATATTCAAAAATGAAAAATAAAATATACCTTTTTCAGCTCAGCAGAATGTAGAAAGCATCAAACAAATTCAAACATATATACACAAATGAAATGTAATCAGATTCTTCGTAGTTTGATCTGCAAGCACTCCCTTTTTCTCGTTACTTCTAGGGTTTGCGATCAAGTGTTGTATTTTGCCGTTTTATTTTATTTTTGTGTTTCGTATTTCCGAAAGCTGAAATTTTTGGAAGAGAGAGAGAGAGAGAGAGAGAGTTGGGGCCAGCGGTTTTTGGGTGGTATGGATTTGGCGTTAATCGACTATTCTTATAGTATCCACCTGGCCTCCCGCCTCTCGTTTCCAAGTCCCAATTTTTATTCTTGTTTTTTCCTCTTATTGACGTAAATGCCCTCCCTTCTATTTAAAATTTTTTTTTCCCGTAACATGCAATATTTACAAACAAAATTTATTGAATAATTCTTTTATTTATTTTAATATCTTGACTTTAAGATCATGCAGTATTACTCAAAATAAATAATGGGATTTTGACTTCAACATCCAAAATGAATCATATCCCAATTGTAAAATCAATACAATTATATATATACAATAAATTTCTCTATCCCAATTGAAAACGCTTAAAGCATTTCCAATCGTTGTGTGTGTATCTATATATATTTGTAAATCTAACGTGTCATAATAGATTTATATAAAAAAATTAAATTATTTATTTTTAGTTCAAGTGATTATTTTATACCTTTGTGTAAAAATATATCCCCAATAATAACCAACCAACTATGTGTCATGTCAAACCCTATGTAACTTTTACAAACTTACTTAATATATAAGCTCAAACGATTGTTTTATACCTTTTGTGTAAAAATAGATCATCAATAACAACCAATCATGTGTCATGTCAAGTCCCGTATAACTTTTACAAACTTACTTAATATATAGTTAATTCTTTAATGGAATGAGAAAGAGGGAAGAGAAAGGAAATATGCTGAGAGCATCTTCAACGGTATATTAAAATTGCAAAATATACACTGTCACCTATGATGTGTTAATTTTTTCTATCTCCAGTAGTATAAATTGCCACATCACCAATGTGTAAAAAGGTTGTGCATTTTACACAATCTTTTTACATTGCAAAATCAACATATTTCCTTTTTCATCCATCTTTCTCATTTCAACCATATATTAAGTATGTTTGTAAAGGTTTGTAAAAGTTATGTGGGTCCTGGCATGACACATGATTGATTGTTATTGGGAGATATATTTTTACACAAAATGTATAAAACAATCGTTGGAGCTAAAATTAAATAATTTAAATTTTTTTGTGTAAATTCATCATGACACATCAGATTTACACAAAAATATATACACAACGGTTGAAGATGCTCTAACATGACTGTATAAAAGGTGATGTAAAATACAAAACAAATGTTAAGATTGCTCTAAAGATAAAAAATAAAAATAAAAAATAAAATAAAATTACACATCACTGATGACAATGTATATTTTACATATAAGGATATCTTAACATACTGTTGGAGATGCTTTTAACATTTTCCTTTTAAAGTTCTCTGAATTTTCTTTCCTTTTTCCATTTCAACTTCTTAAAATTTTTGTACATGCATATTTGAATAATTTACTTCTTCTTCATCTTTTGTATTTTATATTTGTTATGTTATACATATATATATTGCACCCGCGCCCCCTAACTTGAATTCCTTACTATAAATATCTTTTGTTTATAAATTGATAGCAAATATAGTAATGTAATACTTCAGTTATGCCCCATTAAAACAATTTGTGTCTTGCATATTAACATGTCCCAATAAGAGGTTGACACATCTTTTAAACTTAAAAAGATACAAAACATGGGTGATACCCATTTTTTAGGATTAAACCCAACAAATCTATTTTTTTTTCCTCTCTTTGCTCCCATCTGTGTATCTCACTCACATATTCATCTGCATTTTTTTTTCTTTCCTTTAGCCGCCAATCATTCGACCGTAGAATTGAGTGAAAAAAGAAATAACTTTCATGTATAGCATACATAAAAATAATTGAAATAGATTTTGAAAAGGGCAAAATAGAAAAGGAATAACTTTCATAAATAGCATGCATAAAAAAATAGTTAAGGTAGGCTTTGAAAAGGGCAGAATAGAAATGGTTAGTTCAGTTTTTTTAAGAATAGTTTTCTATTTTAAGAAAATTTAAAATAACATAAAAAAGTAGGAAAGACAATTTTCCATGCGTTCTTATCTAGAAACAGAATTAAAAGAAGATATATTCAAAGTTGAGTAATTTTAAAACTATTTCAATTTTTTTTTTTTTTTTTATATGATTCTAAAAAATTGCCTGGAACTATTTCAGAATTAAAAGAATTTTTATTATTCTAAAAAGTGGAGGTCTCAGTAGGGAATATTAGAATCTGAAATGATTGGCAGCCAGAGCTAAGAGAAAAGAAAGTTATGGATGAGCATGTGAGTGAGATAAATAGATGGGAGCAAAGAGGGGGCAAAAAAAAAAAAAAAAAAAAAAAAAATTGTCCTGTTTAAACCTAAAAAATAGGTATAACCCATGTTTTGTATTTTTTAAAGTTTAAAAGAGGTGTCAACCTCTTATTGAGACACGTTAGTATATAGGACACAATCTGTCCTGATGGGACAGGACTGGAGCATTATTGTGATTGTTTATTTTATTTGATAATTATTTTTTTTAATACTTAAATCATATCTAACGATCAGTAGTAAGGACAAAAATAATAATTTAAATTATTGTTTAAATTTTAAATTATACTAAATTCATACTTTTATTGACGTTACTCTGATTGCAGCAATCTTATTTGTTGATGACAGTTTATATTTCATTTATGTTTGTTCCTTAACTAAAGGAGTGGAGCACCAATAATGGTTATTTTTTTCTCATTTGGGTTGTAAAGTGTAAAATATAAATATAATTTGGAAAGATATAATATACACTTATGTACATAATTTTTTATACTTGTCAAAAGCCTAGACAAATTTCATTTGCAGCTTGGAAATTACAATTAAAATTCTTTTGGGGTTAATAATATACTCACGAACGTAAGTATACTGTAAATCTCATGTATTATTTACTGAAAAAAAATAAATCTTAAACATTTTACTAAAAACATTAAATTACAATGAGTGGTTAAAACCGAGGTCACCAATCCAAAGTCGTCTTGTTTACAAATGAAACAAAAGGATTCAACTATAAACTACTGATGATATTGCTTGGAACCCATCATGTTTGGAAAAGAATCCAAATATAATCCAGTACATTAAAAAATTGTATTTTCAACTCTCAAAAACAGTTGATGGGCAAGTCAAAATGGGTCAACTCTAGTTATCTTTGTTAATATAGATAGTAACAATGATTTTCATGTTAAAAGAAAAGGAAAGTTAATGTTATTGTTTTAATAAGGTTGTATTTGTTTTAATAAGGTTGTATTCTGAAAATCAAAGTTAATATTAGATAATAACAAAGTAAATTGTGCTTTAATTTGTACAATAATAATTAGTCACAAATAGTGCATGTGGATATTAACTATAAACAATATATATATATATATATATATGAGCGGAGTAAGGATTTTATTTCAAAGAGGAATAATGCACTTATTGAAAAAAAATTCAATAAATATGACAAATATAATATTTTTAAATCAAAAGACAAACAAGAAAAAAAGTAGTTGTAAAATAATATGCTAAATAAGTATCGTAAAAAATATATACTTAAAAATATAAGAATCAAAATATTGATTAATAATATTTTAATTAAATACAACTACAAATGTCATCGATAAAAAGAAAGAAATGAAAAAAATGGAACAATACATAATTATACAAAAGTGGAAAACAAAATTTCAAAAAGGAAACAACAATTAGAAAAGGAAAAATATTTGGTGTACCCTAAGAATGGGGATATACGTAACTTTTTTTTTTTTTTTTTTTAAGGAAATTAGAGGAATTTAAAAATTTTAGGAGGCACTATTTAAAATTACTATATAAGTATATGTATATAGCAAAAATATGTACCTATGTATAGTAGGTTGAAATAAGGACAGGGGCACGTGCCCCCTTCGGACCTTAATTGGTTCCGCCCTATATATATATATATATATATATATATATATATATGTTCCCAAAAAGACAACATTGATTTGTCAGGGGAATTCTTTATTCTCGAGTAGGAAAAACTTTCATTAGATGTATTTATACTCCTATATATTATATAATTAATTTTGAAAATGATAGATGCACTTTTTTTCTTTTTGTTAACATAAAAAGATAAATATATCTTTAATACTTTATTTATTTATTTATGTGTTAGAAACACTTGTGTTCATTTTAAGAATGAAGTGTATCCGATTAAAAAGGAGCAGGGGTGTAGGTAGTAGGCTCCTTCTTAAATATTACTCCTTTCATTTCAAAAATAATAGTGCCGCTTTTGAAGAATCATGTCAGTTTAATTTGTGAGAGTCATGATTATTCAGAAGTGATACTTTTTTATGGAACAAAGAGAGTATCTTATTTCAATTATTTGGATTTTGACAACATGAACTTTATTTCCTATCTATTTACCCCAAAAAAAGAAAAAGAAAAAAAAACTTTATTTCCTATCTAATGTCAATGGTTTTGTTCACACTAAGACGTGTTATTCTTGCTTTTCGGTGGTGTAATGTCATATCATTCTTACTGGGTAAAATTGATTTTCTAGAGGATATTGAAAAGCAAAAACTTTCATCATTATATATATATATATATATATTGGTATGATGGGTAGAAAAGGTAATATATAATTAAAATAATTAAGTACATGCAGGAAAAGGAAAATAAAGAAAGAACGACGAAAAGCGCTAAAAGATACATGCATTGCTAGCCAACGCCTAACTGCTTAGACTTGAAGGCGGCTTGGTGGTCAATTTGACCCCGTATATATGATTTATGGCCCCTCCTGGAAAAAAGTAATGGTACAAGTAGTTCAACAATTTGTCATCCATTCTTGACAAAGATGTATGATATACTTGTATTTGTCATCTATACATTTCATATAATTAAATTAAAATAATAATAATAATAATAATGAAGCTGAATTTGCCTCTATACTTATAATAAAATAATAATAAATAACATCGTCTGAACTCTTCATTACACAATTAGTGGATGAGTGGAAATCTTCTACAGTACTTTTCACCACCAGGTGGGTTGAAGAGTATCCAAGTTACTGTTAAATAGACTCCATCTGATTATTGTTCCAAACTGTGTTGTGTGTCATTGC